TTGTGTTTTGGCATATATGTAGGCCAATGATGCATCATGGGTAAATCTATTTTATTATTCTAATGGTTATTGGGTAGGCAGTAATGTTTATGTTTCAAATTATTCTAGGGTCTATTGAGTGGAAATAATTGGGTATGCAGTTTTGTGCCTATTTTATAGTGTTGTCTGTTAACTTTTTCATTAATTGCTTTGTTGATTGTTGCTATTATGTTTATTTCTGTTTATATATATTTATATAAAGAACTCATGTTATGTTCTTAAGTAGCCTCCTCATGTTGACATTCTGATAAGGTTTTCATGAATGGCACCTAATCCATTTAGTTGCCTTAACAGTCAAATATATGCTTTCTCAGATCAATGATTAAAAATAGTCTTGAATGAATGAAGCCTGTAAGTCTTAAAGAAGCCTATGCTTCATAAGATCTTATAGATTGGTACTACAAAAACAAAAATTATATCACTTGAAGATTTCTAAAAGTAACAACTTGTTGTTTCTATAAAGAAATACATAAATAATATTATACTGTCACTGTGTCGCATCCATGAAAATATAAATAAAAATTAGTTATAGTGTCAAAAATAATTATAATAATTATAATTATCATCAATTCACTTTTTCTAAACCAATCAGAATCGATTTCACTTTTCTTCTCTACACACAAACATGTGACATTCTCACTATCGGACAGGTAGTCAATATGTGCACCAAAAAAGATTTTGGCTCTTTTTCCTATTTCAGGCTATAATAATAATATTTATCTCTTATCACTTGACAAAAATTTGAAGTAAGAAACCCTCAGACACTACTTGTATTTTGTAAATTCTCTTTCTGCCTGCAGAGAAATGGTCGATGTAACTTTACATACACTGCCTTCAAAATTCCCAAGTGTTTGGCTGACCGTGCTCTGCATAAAATGGTAAATTCTGTATCTGTGTACTTGAAAGTGCATCCTGGATCATCTATTAAATGCTGCCCAATAGCTGACTCACAAGCCATTTGAGTCTCCTTTTGGCAGACATGTGTTGTCCAATCCATGTCCCAAGGCATTGATTGGCTCCTAACTCATATATATATATATATATATATATAATTTGGAATCTGATTGAATGAACAACAAATAAGAAACACTTATAAATCTAACATGTTTCGCTTTTATTAAAGCTTCATCAGAGAATGAAGTACGAAAAAATTTTCTGGTATTTTATTCTTGCATTGTTTGATTTTCATTGATTAAGTAAACTTCACATGTGTACCATAATTCTAGTTTTTCTATGTGGGATTCATATGATAATGTATATATGTACATGTGTGTATCTAGAAGGCATTATTTATGTTTGGAGGTTGTCTGCATGTTGATTATGGGGACATTTTTATGTCAACATCAGTTATGGTAGTTAAGTATATATTAGATTCTTTAAGAATATGATTTAATAAAGCTTGGTGATGTAATATATAGTGTTTTTGTTTGTGTGTTTATAGTTGTTAAATTTTTAATCAGGACTCCCTCGAAGTAGTTTTGACATAATGAATTATGTTCTTTTTTTAAATAGGGTGTCATTTGTGAAATCAAAGATTGATTTTCCAAATATCACCCTAATTTGGACACTTTATCTTCAGAAAAGGAAATACTTGTACAAATGCATGTAAAATTGAATAAAATTCTTAATCACAGTACCTTGTCAGTCATCTTTAGGGTAACTTGCATAAAAGAAGGATTGCTGCCCAAATACACTATATATATATATATATATATATATATATATATATGGGCAGCAAACTTTATTTTAAACATCTTTCATTAAATATTGTGCACAAGAAAAATTTTATTAATTTTTTTATTTAGTATATTTTCCAGCATTTTTATATCTAGTATGAGTGAGGGAGTACAAAACTTACCCATGTCATTCATTGTCCCAAGGGTTTTTAGCCATTTCCTTAGCAATTTCAGGGTGGGTATTTTTTTGGTGGGGTTATTAGTTTCTTGAGGGGGGTATTAGTTTCTGCGGGGGGAGGATTTAGTTTCTGTTTATATTTTGACTGTGTGACATGTATTATTTGGGTGGTTTTGAATTCTTGTAGTGGTGTTAATTCCAGGCCATTGCATGTTGGACATTGCTATAATTCGAATGGGCAACTTAATATTTTTAAAAGACTTTCAGCATACTTGGGACAATGGATGATAAGGTCAGTTATTATACTACCTCATTTACACCAAATGGAAAAATGCTTTAAAACTAGATAATATATATTCATCAATTTACATATTATCCCACATCTTTCACATAACTAGGAGTTTCATATATAATTTGAAAATATATCATCTTATCTTAATGCTGGCATAGTTAAGCACTATATATATATTGGGATATAGTTTGTTTCAAAAACTTTTTAAAATAATTACTAACTAAAATCGTCAATATTATGATATAAACATAGGATAAGTTTTTATCATGAATTATTAATTTTATTTTATTTTAGAGTAGTCAGTTATTAATTATTTATATAATGGAGAGAGATAATTTAATCTGATTTAATATAAAATTAGTAATATTACTAAAGAAAAAATATATAATAATAAATATCAATATAAATCACAGTAACTTTTAAAACTTTGTAAAAACATAAAAAAAATCTATAAAAATAAAACTATATATAATAAAAACTTCATATTAAAAACCAATAAATAATAACCCATAATACATAATAAGTAAGTTAAAAAACAAATAGATAAATAAATAAATACTAAACAATCCCCTACAGTAAAAACTAAAGTTCGATGGTAAGAAAATTAATCTAGATCTATGTGTTTAAGTAGATACTTATTTTTATACTTACATATGACCATCAGTTCATTTCTCTTATTTAAGCCTAGGTTAATTAAATGTTGAAAGATAATTGTTTTTTCAACTAAACACAGGTTGCATTTATTTCCTTTGCCATTATACTCAATTTAATTAAGGGGAGTTTTTTTTTTTTAAGCATTACGCCCCGAGCAAGGCATGAAGCCACTAGGATGCAGGGGGTTGCAGAAGATTTGGAGCGAGAGCAGATAGGAGAGATAGAAGAAAGGATGAGGAGAAGGATAGTGGGTAGATCAAGGTAACTGGAGATGTCAATTGACATTACATTTGAATAGTTGGAGATTATAGCTCTCAGGGAAACAGTAATTGGGAAGGGTGTTCCACAGGCAAGAGGTGCAAGGTATGAAGCTATTGGAGTAGAAGAGACGGCTACATTTAAACGTTTCTACAGTGTAAGGGTGGGAGCGGGATGCCAGTCTCGTAGGGCGCTTGAATTCATGGAGTCTGGGGACCAGTGAAAGCAGCTCATCGGAGCAATTACCATGAAAGTATTTGTAGAAAAGACAGAGAGAGGCGATGGTATGTCTGTGAGAGAGTGACTGTAGATGAGACGCCAGATCAGGGCCAATTATATTACATATACGTCTCTGGATCTTGTCAAGAACTCCGAGATAAACAGAAGGTGCCACAGACCATATATGGCAGCAATACTCAATGCAAGGGCGAATGGTTGATTTGTATATTTGAAGTATTGATTCCGGGGAGAAAAATTTCCTGGCGCGGCACAGAGAGCCAACTTTCCTCACGGTGGAAGAAGCAATTGACTCAATGTACTTGTTCCATCTCAGGTCAGCAGTCAACGTGAGACTGAGCAGATGCAGGGAGTTGCTCTCAAGAAGTTGACTATCAGACATTCTAATGGGGGGCAGGGAAGGATCTCTATGGTGATTAATAGAGAGTAGTTTAGTTTTTGAGGCGTTAAAGTTCACCAGCCAATTCTTGCCACAATTAACAACCGATTGGAGGTCCATTTCAAGACGCACGGCCAGGTTAGTTTTGTCACCAACACTAGATTTGTTTTTGAGGCAGGAGTAAATTGTAGTGTCGTCCGCGTAGATGCCAACTTGGGAATCTATGGCGTCAGGAGTTGCTGGAATCTTTCAGTTGCCAGAAATAATTAGAGAGTGCAGTGCTGTTTCTATATTTAATATTAACCAAAGTCATATGGTGAATTTTTAACTATGCCAGCATTACAGTAAACTGATATATTTTCAAATTATATATAAATAAATGTCACTACATACTCAGCACCTGAATATTGCATTTGGCAAGAAACTCTGAGTCATGCAAATAGTGTGGGATAATATATATATATTATAGCTCTGTTTCAATAACATCAGCACCTTATGTGTAATATATATATATATAAAGAAATATAGTCTTAAGGTGTGCTATATTTATGGGATAAAGTGCTCAATATCAGAGATAGAGCGTGTGTAAATATAAAAGTGAACATAGAAGTCAACACAGTCTGTTTCATGCTATATGCAATCGTTTGGATATATATATATATATATATATATATATATATATATACCCAAACTAGTTCCAGTTGAAGAGGCACCATGCCTTGAGAGAATTTGGGCCTCAACCTCACACATAATCTCAAGTGGAACACTTATGTATGATCCATTGCTAAACATGCAGATAAAATGATTCATTCCCTGTACTACTCCAGTAAGTACCTGAATTTTCTTGCTATCCTTTACCTTTTATAAGAGCCAGATCAGGCTGAAAATGGAGTACTGTACCATATTCCAGTCTTGATAGAGTTCACAGCATCTCCAAGTTCTTGTTGGGAAAGAATTATTTGCCACCTTCCATCCTCTCTCTCACAGGCAATTTTCCTGGCCGAACCATTTGAAACTCAAGGTTATGTGCAATAGTTTTCAGCTTTTTTCATTAAAAATGATTTTCTTTTGCGTCTTCAGCCACTTGTTTAAAAATAAGAGAGTACTGAGGACAGTGCATACATCAAAAATAAAATGTGGGAATTTTGTCATAAAATAACAAAAATCAAAATCACTACTTATGCCTACAAATACATATAGAGGTAGATTTATGGATATATGAATCTAAAAACTTATTCTGGAGAAGAATGTTGGTTTTCCTTTGAAAATAAAGTTATGCTGACAAATTCAAGATGCAAAGAAAACCATTAATTCCATCCCACTTTCTCTGATTAAAAGTAATAGGCCAGGATTCTTAAATTGAACAAGGTTATTATAATAATTATCATTGGTAATTTTTTCATATTTCATGGGACTTGCAAGTAAAAAGAGGCAAAGGTAAATAGAGGAAAAACAGAGAGAGAAAGGAAAAGAAAAAAGTGAAGGATAGGAAAAGAAAGAGTGAAAGAAAAATAAAGGATAGGAGAAAGGCAAAGAGAAGACAGAAGAAAGGAAATAGGAAAAGAGATTATGAGAAGAAATAAATGAAAAAATAAAGAAAAATAAAGTGTGAGTGGAAAAGTAAATGTTGGAAATGGAGAAAAGCAAAGAAAGAGGAAGAGGGAGGAAATAAATGAAGGAAGAGAAAAGAAATAAAATAAATGAAAGTAAAGAAGAAAGGAAAAGAAATAAAAATAAAGGAAAGAGGGGAAAAGAAATAAAAATAAAGGAAAGAGGGGAAAAGAAATAAAAATAAAGGAAAGAGGGGAAAAGAAATAAAAGTAAAGGAAAGAGGGGAAAAGAAAGAAAAATAAAGGAAAGAGAGGAAAAGAAAGAAAAATAAAGGAAAGAGGGAAAAGAAAGAAAAATAAAGGAAAGAGGGGAAAAGAAAGAAAAATAAAGGAAAGAGTGGAAAAGAAAGAAAAATAAAGGAAAGAGGGGAAAAGAAAGAAAAATAAAGGAAAGAGGGGAAAAGAAAGAAAAATAAAGGAAAGAGGGGAAAAGAAAGAAAAATAAAGGAAAGAGGGGAAAAGAAAGAAAAATAAAGGAAAGAGGGGAAAAGAAAGAAAAATAAAGGAAAGAGAGGAAAAAAAAGATTGTGAGGGAAAATAAATGAAAAGAAAGGAAAAAGTGTGATGGGAAAAATAAAGAGGAGATAAGAAAAGAGGGAAAGATAAAGTAGAAAAGAAAAAGAAAGAAACATATGAGGAGAAGGTAAAATAGAGAAAGCAACAGATACAGGTAGTTAGAGATTTGAAAATATGAAGAAAAGGAGGCAGAAATAGCAAATTGGAGCTGAAGAGAGCAACAGGTAAAGAAAAAAGAAAAAAAGATAAAAAAAGAAAGCATATATAAATTTGTAGATCCGAAAAAGGGAATGAGAGGTAAGAAAAAGAAAATGGAGTAAAAGCAGAAAGATAAATAAGTAGAAAAATGATTTAAGCAAGAAAGGAAAGCCGGTAATGGAGGAAGGACAGAAAAGAGAAAGTAAAAAAAAAAAATAAAGGAAAACAACGAAAGAAGAATGTGGAGTGAAAAACACAAAATGTAAGTGGAAAGGTGAGGAAGGGTTGATAAAGACAGGAGAAGAAAGAAAAGGAGCAGAAAAGAGTGAAGGAAGAAAATAAGAAAGAAAGAGAGAAAAAGTGAAAGATCAAAGCATAAAGAATTTAAACAAAAAATAAAAGCATAAATAAAAAAATCTGAAAGTGAAAACAGTTTTCATAAAAATTTTAACAACAGGTTTGCCACTTTAAAAATTTTGCAGTACAAATGAAGGAAATGCAAAACAATTTTGTAATTTTCTATCTCATTTTGTCAAATTGTTGCTTTTTGCCTATTTTATTTTGTTGTTTATTTTAGGCAACAGCTGCATTTCTAAGTACAACATTCCACTCGTGCATGTGCATTTAAATTTGCATCCTTGAAAATATGTATTTGTGCTTTGAGAATTTATGTACATCCATGCTTGTTTGTAGGTCTGATTTTCTCTTCATGCATTAATAAGTGTGTCTTTTGCATTTCTCTTTAAATGACTTGTGAAAATAAATATCATCTCAGATTTATATTCAAGGAATTGCTGTAAAGTTCTCAGCCTGACCCACTCTGTAAAATCTGACCAAATCACCAAGAATCAGAAGTTTTCCTGAATCTCTTATTGATTAGGGCTTATGACCACATCATGTTGAAACACGGACTTCTGCATAATCACAATTAAGTAATGTTGAGCCTGGTCAGTAATTAGATTGGTTTAGTTTGTTTTATGGCATATCAACCTCAATGGGTTATTTAATGCCAACAATATTTATTTCTGTTAATTTTTTTTTTTTTTCAAAAATGTATAGCTGGTAATATCTTATTTTTTCCAAAACTGTATTGTTGGTAATAATCTTTTTACAATGTATTTCTGGTATTAAAACATTTTTACACTTTCATAGTGTTTTGACCCCCAGTTTGTGGGTTAAGTATTTGCCCATAGCTGGGACCTTAAAATGCGCTTCCACCCCAGGTCAGCGTGGACCTGGGAACACCAGCAATTAAGAGGTGGTTCCATGCTCCTCAAAACCACCTATCAGAGGCCTTGCTGTTGGACATATTTTATCATTTTACCCAGGGCGCAGATGTAGTTTATCATCATACCCAGTACCTAGAGAATGACTGCAGGGGAACAGCAGGTGTTATAAGCTTAAGTGTGGTGTAATAACTAATTGCTCAGAATTTTTAATCTGAGAGCTGAGTTCCAATTTCAGTTGGATTTGTTATATCCACTTACATGTAAATACCTCTGCAAAAGATATGAATTTACCTCATGTCTTCCCATCTATGGGTAAATTAGTAAAACGTGTATCACTAAACGATTTTTATCGCACCCCACCAAAAAGTAACCTACAATATATTTAGATTTCAGCATTAAATAACTGATATAATGGAATATGCATACACCTGTAGTCCCCATTACTGGAATGTGATTGGCTGGTGTCCGTCATAAATATCGACGGACGTGTAGGAGAGTCAGAAAAGAGCATTAGTCTGAGAGCTACACCATTGATCTACACTTCTTACCTGTGACTACGACGCGTACCAGTCGATTACTGCTACCATATTCTACTTGGTTATAGTAGCCAAAACCACTTAGCTACTTTGTTCAAATATATCCCTTTACGGGACATATCAATAACCAATTGATGTCAATATGCTGTTAATCAAAAAACAACCAACTAACCCTATTGGTCGTATCAAAAACTTTTCAGTAGCTTTCTTTCTTATATGTATATACTATATATTTCCATATATAAGGTTATCTTTAGAGAAGACAAGATTAAAAAATATAGCAAGTTTTCATGAATTTATCCTATAACTGTCGTATAAGATGACTACTGATTGATTATATAAAGATGATGTTATTGGAAATGTTTTTACTTACTGTATCCTTCAAAATTCAAAATAAACAAAATAACAAAACTGATTCTACATCATGTTTTTCCTCCACATGTCCTCTAAAAGGTAAACAATTGATTTGTTTACATTTCATGATGTGATCGCTTGCAAATACTGATTCTTCTTTTCCTATATCTAAACAGTTACAAACAGCCTGGTGCACTAATGGCCATTTACTTATACTTTATTGACAATCACAAAATACTGCTAATAACAGTACAATAATGTACAATAATAGTACATTCTATTGCTGTGAACACAATCATATTCTTTGAATTGGCAGTTTATTATGAAATTATGCCATTGCATAAGGTAGAAATGCTTTTATTAGTTTTATTATCAATTTATTTGATAATATGAATCTTTTCATGTACATTACTGGTTATCGCACCGACAAACATCACTCAGAATTTATGGCTTCTTTTTTAGAATTGCAGTATGAAACAACCCCCAATTTTTAAGGGTAATTTTTGTGATTTAAAGGTCGTCTTATGTATGAAATATATGTTATATTTCCAAACAAGTTTGATTAAAAAGAACTGACAATGTCAATTTTTTTTTATTGTATTTTCCAATTTTCAAATAAGGTTTTGAGTAGTGTGTTCGAAATTGTTGATAAACTGTTTGAAGTAATTATTGTTATATCCACCATTTCAAACACAATACTCAACACTTTAAATCGAAAATTGAAGAAATACAATAAAAGAATAAAACAAACAGGCCAATGTTGATTCTTTTTAATCAGATTTATTTAGATGAATGTTTCCAACACAACGAGAAACAGCAGTAAAGGTTGGATCACTAAGGTACTTTCAATCTGGAAACACAAGCTGATACAGTCGTGCAGCCGCTTGTCCATTACCATTAATGCAGCTGTATATAAAAATCATATCTGCCTGCTCACAATATGAATATCCTGCCATTGTTGAATGGAAAACTTCTCAGCTAACTCACTACGACACATGTTAAATGATGAAGACAGACAAACTACAATTATATATGAATAGTAAATGTAACCTAGTCTAAATTGCAGCACAATGCCATCTACTATAAACTTTGTTTAAACTTAATAACTCAATAACGAAGGATTTGCAGACATGTTTATATGGTGTTTTGTCCTTGTTTTGGTATGAGGAATCCACCCCCATAGTTTGTAAAAATATTTTTGATACAACCTGTATATTACTTAATTGATGAATTTGTTTTTTATGGATTATCAACTCTTTGGGGATTATTTAAATCCTAAACCTATTTTGGATTGTGCTATATTCCATGCTAATGGAAATATATATTTGAAAAACACGGTGGATAAGTAAGTAAAGGTTTATTGTTGGTCTCTCAATATAATAATCAAGGCAGTTGCAGTCTGGGGAGTTAGGTGGCCAGATGTAAGAAGTGGTTGCAGAAATTGTCTGACAGCCAGTACTGGGTTCTTCTTCTTGTGTGACATGGTGCAGAATCCTGTTGCTAGACATAGGTTCTTCCATCAGCCACCCTCTTGACTCGGGGCAGCACTACTTTTGATGTATGCCTCTGTGTTGAGTCTGAGGCCCTCAACAACAAATTTGGAAGTTCTTTTCTTATCAAAATATTCAGAGTGAGTTTTCTGAGCTGGAATACCTTTGTAATCATCATTACACTCATCCAACTCTTTCTGAATCCTCTGCAATGTCCTCAGATTGATACCCAAATACTCTGAAATATTCATATTGGAGCTTCTACTGTGAATGCTAAGCAGTACAACATATCATTTCTAAATTTCTGTCAAAATGAATTTTGCTGTGGTGGTCTTTTTCTAAGAGATGGTGCCCAACTGACCCTACTTTACTGTGCAATCAGCAAAATCCAAAAACACGCTGACGTGAAATAAAAACATAAAATGGTGACTATTTACCCATTGTTCCCCATATATATATATATATATATATATATATGTGTGTGTGTGTGTGTGTGTGTGTGTCTAGAACAAGAAAATTATATATATAAGTTTTCATTGTTTATACTATTTATAATCAGACTATTGTCCTGATCTTTATTATTTTTATCCCAAAGACTTCTACTGTGAATGCCAAGCAGTAAAGCATGTTGTTTCCAAATTTCTGTTAAAGTGAATTTTGCCGTGGTGGTCATTTTCTAACAGATGGTGCCCAACTGACCCTACTCTACTGTGCAGTAATCAAAATCCAAAAACACACATATGTGAAATAAAAACATAAAATAGCGACAATTTACCCATTATTCGCTATATATATTGTTGTGTATGATACACCCTAATTTACATAAGCGGATATCGACCATATAAATATGGGTTGGTACCGAAAACGGGAAGATAGTAGAGATTAAGAAATTGAATCCAGAGACTTGCCCGACGCGATTTAGTCAACCCATTATGCGAAAACAGTCTTCCAAGAATATACCAAACTAACAAATATTGTGTACCTATTCTTTGTTTCAATACATTTTGTTAACGCATATTTTGTGTTGTATTATTCCATGCTTATTTAAGCATATATATATATATATATATATATATATATATATATATATATATATATATATATATCATGTTTATTGTTTTTATTCCCAAAACAAAGCTGAGAACAATAGTCTGAATATAGTGTAAATAAATTTTCTCTATTAAATAATTTATTAATATTTAAATAAATAAATTATTATTATAAAACAAAATGATTGATGTAATGCTTCCAATATTTTACAACAATTAGGGAAGATCGTAATTCAAGAAAAGACAGTTAACAATAATTCAACAGCATATCTTTCTTCTTTATGTTATATTTAAAAGTGCATAAAAGTATAGATAAAAAAAATACAAGTTTTTCTAAAAGGCTGCTAAGTTTGCGGTGATAATCAACAGAACAAAACAAATGAACAACCCCTGAAATGTTAGCAACATGATGATGATCATGCTCCTCTGTTTTTATTTGCTTTTTTGAGTTGATTATCAGTACTACCATTATCCACAAGACAAGCGGTGTTTATACAAAGAGTTGGATTCTTTTTTTTTTGACTTGTATACAATTTTTAAATATAACTTGCAGAAGAGAGACAAACTGTCGAAATTTTTCTCTTCTTAAATCGAGCTCTTCTCTGTTTTATTATTATTAATATATATATATATATATATATATATATATATATGTATGTTGATATTGAACACTGAAATTACAAAAACTGCTTACCTTAAAAATACTATCTTCTAGAATTACCTTGGTCAATTATTTTAGTGATACACAATCTTTGTGAA